AATAATACCAATCAAAAGAAAATGCTCATTCCATATACAATACAGGCAGAATTCATTTCAGTGTCATCAATCTTAATGTAACACTGTTCTCCTCTTGTAGTATTGCTTCAAAATCAGAATTTTTTTATGATGTGAAAATTGCCAAAATTAGCTGATTGCTTAGGCTCCAAGTCCTTTTGATTTTTAATATAAGAGGCTGAAAAACATTTTTGGTATGTTTTCCTGATTTATGCTGGGTCACAAAGATAGAAGCCATTTTTGTATTTGAACTCAAATGTTCATCGTAAAACTTTGACAAGAGCAAAAGTATTTCTTGTGTAGAACGTAACATCTCTACTGTGTGGATAGGCTAATTTATATTGATTTTTATTGTGTTTTCCTGGACAGGCATTTAATTGAAACAGAATGTAAGAGCAGATAAAAACAGCGTGCCCATGTATCTGAAAGCTGTGGTAGACAATTAGCAGAAGAATGAATGCTATGGCTCTCTAGAAATTCTGCTCAGATGACTCACTGGAAACAAAGGTTATTAAGGAATCTGTTCTGTCTGCATTGCTTCTTTGCCCCAAGATGTCTGTAGGCTCCAAAGGCAAGAAGCATAAACTTGTGTTGTCTTCTGTCAAAAAGGTTTAGTACTGTGCAAGAAAACACCTCACCTTAAAGCTAATGTGTGTGAGCAAAGGGATGATCTAGCAAGCAGACCTATAATATGATTAAACACTCTCACTTAGCGTGGCTTCATATTGAACTTGTAATTTTAGTGGTCACATCTGTGTACTATCAATGTCATGATGCTGACAGGATACAATTTAACTGTACAAGCAAATATTAAATTCTGGTTACTCATTTGGAAAAACTGGTACAATAAGTAGCTCTGTGTAGACAGGTCATGATTACCTCTCCCAATGCCAACTTAACTTATGGACAATAAAAATTAGTGGAAGATTACTGGCTTATTCTCTACTTGACAAATAGCATTTAGTAAACTTAATACATAGGCTATGTGAGTAACAGAAATTCCTCATTAGTTTTATAAGGAAAACAAAAACACATTTGTAAAGCTATTACAGTTACTGTAAAACAATTCCTCTCAATGAAACCTAACACTATTTAGGGGGGTTTTGCTGGTTTTAGACATGGCAGACACAGATCTAACCTACACCAAAATAACTACAACCAACGTCTCCCATACATATGGGAATACTCTACTAGGTACACAGCATCCATACAGTTCATTCAGCCTGCTTTCACAAAAGTAAGATTTAAAGTGCTATGATTTCATGACATTACTGGCATGTTTGAATGGCTGGAGGACTCTGGACTTTGCTGAAGTATAATAGAGTTAATCTGAGTACATACAGGCAGATTTTGAAGTTACTGAGATCCTATTTTATGTGTTTTGGAAACAAACTAATAAAGTTTCAGAAATCTTAAACTGCTTCTCTTCTGACTAAGTGTTATCATCAACACACATTTCCTTGGTGGTGTCTGATTTCTGTTCAACAGGAATAATGCTGAAGAAGCTAGCTAGGTTGTACAAGAACGTGCAGATCTCAGATAAAACACACATTGTTTGGAGAAATACAAAACAAATGATCTTTTCTTTTAAGGAGACATTTTCTCTGGAATTGCGTTACGCATCAAATCAACATTATGTATCTGTTCTTGGACTCAAATATAATGAAACTGAAAACTGAAGAATGTAGAATCTTACTCCCTTTTAATTGATTCCGCTTTTATCATTTAATCTTGGCTAATTATTTAATCATATCTAAAATGCACAAGAGCAGAATTTCTGTGTATTGTTCTGAAAGCTGATAAACATTAGTTGATTGTCATAGGAGTAAAACAATTGTAAATCATGACTGACAGTGATTTGCTTTGGTATTAGAAAAAACTGCTGCATTGTGATAATGGGAATGTCTCAGATTTCCAAATACAAAACTTCACAAGTCTACCATACAGCTGAGCTATTATAATTGAAAATCTATTGTTTAGAACAAATATTTCATACAGGGAAGTTATACATTTGCTGACAATTTCTTTTTAAACTTACATCTTGGTCAGGCATAAATTCAGGCTATATTACAGCACACAGAAGAAGTCTGTACTCATCATGGCAAAACTGTCAGTTGCTGATTTCATCATTGAAGAAGGTCATTTTCTAACCTTAGAGTTTTTAAAAATAGACGGGCAAGTTTTCAGTCCCAGTGTGATTGTACTGGTGCTTAGCCTAGTGCTCATGAGGGAAGCAAGGTGATCATGGGGTAGGCAAGGTATCACAGCCAGGATGCTGAGAGAGTTGTGCTGGGATATGGTTTGCACAAAAGTCAAAGAGGGCGTCAAGTGTCTTTTACTGCTAGTTGATAAGTCCACAGTCTAGGCTGGAAAAGAAGTGCATTGTCTTTAGAACAAAGCAAGAAACAGACTGCAGCAGTTAGATCTGGTCAATTATTGTTTCTCCCTTATAGCTTTTTCAGCTGAAGATAAAATTTTATGGATGCAATGAAAGGTTGGTATATTTGCTTGGTTTTAAAATCATGTATATTTTGTTGTCTGTTTTACGTTTCTTCACATACTGAAGAAGAATCATAGCTCAGATTTCCCTGCTCTTTATGAAATGCAAAACATTGGTTTCAGTTAAAACTTGTTAAGTTTTCTGTAAAATATGCAAAAATAACTGACTGAGAGTGATTTTTTACCCTTTATGTCTTTACCAGAAAGAAACAGTGCCTTGATCAGCCGTATTTGAACCAGAGCCTGGTTTTTGCAGTCTGTTTTTTTCCAAAAAGGTCACAGCATATGCCAGCCCTGTTAATGGTACACAGGAAAGATCTGGGAAAACATTGCACAGAGGATGAGCTTTAGATGGCAGAGGAAGGAGGAGCCAGCACCGAAAGCATGGTTACTGTGTCTCTCAAGAGAAAACAGTATTAGTGGGGAATGGTGTTTTCCAGAAGTTGTGTCTAGTTTGGTAAACAGCTGTGGTTTAATGGCTGGTTCTGTTACAGGAAGCATACCCATTTCTGCTCCTGCTCTGCTAAACAGTAGAGTAGAGAAGAGGTCCTCTACTGCTAGCGCCCTACCCTTTCCAGTGGTGCAACAGTAATTACTCTTAAAAAGCACGTTGCATACATACCCTGCAGTGAAAAAGAGTAAAGTTATTCCCAGCACCTGTTGTCTGGTGAAAGCTTATGGAAGGCCTGTGGTAATATTTTCAGTGGCAATTTGAATTAGCAGTGTGTGTTTGCAGTTGCACAAATCAGTGTAATACTTACCTCTTGCTCAGAATATGAAGACTCACCAAATTTTAAAGAGAAGGAATAATCTACAGCATGCACAGTTTGTGTATAGGTATCATAGGCTGTGTAACATCTCATATTACAGTCACCCTATTTCAGGTGTTTATGATGTGTAAGAACAGCTCTCCACTCTGCTGACATGGTTTTGTACTAATACATGTCATCAGAAGTCATTTGAATGATTAGCAGCATCTTGTGGCACAGTAATTTGTCCTTCTACAGTTGCGTTCAGAATCATTCGCTCTTACTGTTTTTTCTTCCGTTCTGGGTATAGGATGGACAGAAGTTTCTCTTGTTGTTGCTCTCCCTTAGGAGTTTGGTAGAGGTGCTAGATTATGTTCTAGTTAGTTACCTGCTCACCTTTCAAGGCACTAAGCAGACAGGAGAAGCCTCAATTGCATCTGTGAGGTTTGCTTCTTGGAATTCAGATGTATGAGTGCAGCAAATCCTACTGCACTAGGTCAGATTGCTGTCCATCATGCTGCATGAACTATCTGTTCATCAGCATGGGTGACAGGACAGAATATTTATCTGCCTCTCAGTCATTGCAGTTGGCCACATGCACGTAAGCACAGACCCTCCATTTTCATGCTTGTGAACGAATACACCAGCCTGTGAGCAGAGATAGCATTAAGGAACAGGCAAATTTTTGTTATATATAACAGTAACATCAGGCAGGGGTTGGGACAGGCATCAGTCCCCAGCCGCCTGTAGCAGCATCCATCTGCCAGGAACCTCAGGGTGCAGTTCTGCATTTTAGCTGGGACAGCCTTGTGTCAGGGTGCTGCAGTAGGCTTTCTCCCTTTTCCTTATATTTTGGTTTGGGTAATTTTTTTTAATGGTCTTTTTTTATTGTATTGTACTGTAGCCTCAGGGTGAGACCATCCAATTTCATCCAAAGGAAAACTTTTCTTGTGAATTTGTTTATTAATTGTTTGCAGAGTGAATTTTCTGCTGGATCAGCCAGCTAAACAGACTTACTGTTCAGGCATCAGGTGCCAGGCAAGTGGCCATGCATGCAGCTGGGATAAGTGGCAGTGATGGAGCGCTCACTTTCAGATCAGTTCAGCCATAATGTGAAACAAATGCAGTCCTGTTCACTTTAACAATGTGGTCTTTAGACAACTTTGGTCAATACAAAGTGGTACCACTTCCATCCTGACCATCTTGAATGATACCACTCCTGGCTGCTTGCTCCCAGTCCTGTGTTTCCACTGCCAGGAGTGTCTTGGCTTTCCTGGTCCTTCAGTGAGCCAGTTTGGGGCACTAAACCAGCAGGAAAATACTTGTATTTTTATAGTATCCCTCTGCTGATATAAGAGATGTCAGACATTTAATAAATCTCCTTTACCCATGAACCAGGACGCAGTTCTCTCTTCTGCGGTTCATGACAAGAGAACACACGTAAGTCCATCTGTCCAAGGTTCTATCTGTATACAAGCAGCCCTTGTCCTGAGTACAGTCTTGTTAAGCATCTGGAAGAGTTTCCTTCCTCAAATTTGAAAAAGGCCTGCTGTAATGGAAGGATATTAACCAGGACTGAAAATAAAAGAATTCTGCTTGTGGTCCATTTCTTCCTCTAACCCCCTCAACATTTCTTTATTGTAGTTTTTCAATGTCTTAAGGATTTTGGGGATTTATTTCCCTTTTTTTGTCTATGTTGTAATAACTTCTCCTTTTTTATCTCTTGTGTTTCAGTTGCGATCGAGTTCAGAGCTTGGCCAGGACATCCTGAATGACTGCCTTGCAATCCAGCCCCTCCAGCCAGCCCTGTCACCACATGATGCTGCAGATAATACCGTGGGACACTCTCCAGGGCCTGCTCACGATATTTACCCAGGTTTAGAAAAAGACAAATAAACAGCCTGCTATACTATTGCTCGCTTAAGTTTAGGGATGATCTTGTAGAGTAGGATGTACTCTAAATTCCATATCTACCTCATGAGAAGGATAGAATCAGGAAAGTAACATGAAAAGATAGGTTTTTAACAGATTTTTACATCTTTTTTGAAGGGGGGCCGGACAAATCGTATTTTATCCATGAAGACCTACTGCAACAAAGAGCAATATTTTTGCTCTATGGGCATTTGACTTCCTTGTAGACATCTTGAATTCTTTTAGCTTCATTTAACATCAAAGGAGTATTTTTCCTCTTCCTTATTCATGGATCACATATCAGTTTTCCAACAGATCTCCATTAATGAACTTAAATGCTACATTATGCGTTCTCATGAGTATAAATATGCCAATAAACACATTTGTGCTACGAATGTGATAATCCTATTGCATTAAGTGAAGTATCTGAGATTTTCATATTAAAAGACCTAACTCTGTCGTACCTGGCTAAATATACAACTGTTTTTCACATTTCAGCTAAATTTGAAACATTTGAGAAGTTATGAGTGATAATACATCGCAAAGCTCAAGACAGACTGGACAGGATGCTAACATTTTTTAATGCAGTTTTTTAGTAGCTGTAAAGACATCTGGTTTTAGCTTTCAGGCAGAATGCATTACATCTTCTAGCAGTTCAACTTTTAATGGAGAACCAGATGTAAGAAGCAAAAGAATTGGCTGAATGTTACATGCAGTGCTGAAAATGACATTATATCAAGTGGCCTCTTCAATAAGTGGTTTTATTGTACTGAGAGGCTTGTAAACCTATCAATTCTATGATTTTTTTTTGTCAAGGATATTGTGAGCTACACACTGCTTGGTGGTGAAGTAGACTTTTATGACAAAAATCAGGAAATTTAAAGCTGTGATTGACTGTATCCTAATTTATTAAATAGTTGGCATTCCTTGTATGCTGTTAGCTTTGAAATGCCTTACTCAGAGTAGAGGCTGAGTGCGGCATCTGTTGTTTCAAAGCTAAAAGAAATTTCAGATTTTAAATATCTGATTTTGGCCAGAGAACCTCTAGTGACATGGTGTTGATTACAGTTGCTTATTTTATATGGTACTTTGAGAGGGAGTTGGATAGTGAGGAATGTTGAGATTTAAAAATGATTTACTGGCACTACCCAGTGTACTGTGTAAAACTGAGAAAGAACAAAATGCTCAGCTTTTCCTATTCCTTTCAAGTTCCTAGATAGAGGAGGACAGTGTGTCGGATGAGCTGAGACCAGGTTTTCAGAAACTGAGGACATTCTCACAGGAGATTTCCACTGGAATCTGCTGAGCACTCAGCTCTTTTACTGGTCTAGCTTTCCAGACTATGACTAAGTGTCGAATTCTGGCTGCTGGGTCAATCCGAACCTAGGCTGACAACAAACTACTGCCCCATGACTTGTCAGGATCCTAAGCTGTCTAAAGCTATTGCCTCCAGCCAGCCCTTAGCTGGCAATTGTCTGCAGTCATGATGTCCTATAGACAGCCTCTGAGACTGTGGCATTACTTTTTGTAATTGTATTCATGCCTGGTGTTAGAATCATAGAATCATAGAAAGTTTTGGGTCGGAAGGGAGCCCTAGAGGTCATCTAGTCCAACCCCCCCGCAGCGAGCAGGGACACCGCTAACTAGATCAGGTTGCTCAGAGCCCTGTCCAACCTGGTCTTGAATGTTTCCAGGGATGGGGCCTCCACTACCTCTCTGGGCAACCCGTTCCAGTGTTTCACCACCCTCATTGTAAAGAATTTCTTCCTTATATCCAGCCTAAACCTACCCTGGTTTAGTTTAAAACCATTACCCCTCATCCTGTCACTGCTGTCTCTACTAAAAAGATTGTCCCCATCTTTCCTATAGGCTCCCTTTAAGTACTGAAAGGCTGCAATCAGGTCTCCCCACAGCCTTCTATTCTCCAGGCTGAACAAGCCCAACTCTCTCAACCTGTCCTCATAGGAGAGGTGCTCCAGCCCTTGGATCAGTTTTGTAGCCCTCCTTTGGACCCGCTCCAACAGTTCCATGTCCTTCGTGTGCTGAGGGCTCCAGAGCTGAACGCAGCACTCCAGGTGAGGTCTCACCAGAGCAGAGTAGAGGGGCAGAATCACCTCTCCCGACCTGCTGGCCACGCTTCTGCTGATGCAGCCCAGGACACAGTTGGCCCTCTGGGCTGCCAGCACACATTGCCGGCTCATGTCCA